ATTGCTAAAATTCCACGATAATATTTAAACAAAGACTATAATATCTCTATAATAAAAATGTTACCTCTTAAACATATGTAATGCTATTTTTTCTCAAAAAATAAAAATTAACTAATCAATACACAATGCTGGATAAGAAGTGTGTTGTTTATAATATTGTGTATACTTCTTTTCCAATATTGCGACTTAAAAAAAAAATGTATTCCCGTTAATCACAAAATTATACAAATCGATTAATCAACCAACTACTTAAATGTCTTCTAACATTTACTTATAGATAAACAGAAAAGCGATATTATTTAAATATTATTTTACAAGTAAAGAATTTAATGCTAATATAGATACTATTTGGCTGTCGTTATAAAATCAATCCACATTTAAAAATGAAATTAAATACAAATAAGCTTCGTTCCAATTAAGCTGGAATAGATTTTGCCCAAATTTTTAGAAAACTTCCCATTTGAAAACATACAACAAGTCTGCTCCACCACTAAGTATCTTCTGAACCATAAAACTTAGAATAATATATATTTGCAAAACTAAACCAAACCACTTTCATAGCTTTATTAATAATTTCAAACTGGCGCCATTTTATAAGTCCATTTTAAATAAGACCATATAGCAAGTAATACATTATATGAAATCTCCTGTGGTACTTACGATTTTCTAGAGTTTAGTGCAATTGAGTAGCACCGTTTCAAAATGGTAATTGTTCAATGTTCAATGATACCAGTAAAAATATATTGATTTGTTTATTCCTAATAATTTATTAGGCTTCAGCTTTCATAGAAAATGCTTGAATAGGCAAATTTCCTTTTACACAAATTTCCCACCTACTGATTGATACTTATATTTATTTATTTGAAAGAAAATTGTCCCTCATGTCAAATTATGAAATGTGGAAAGTAAAAAAATAAATTGACTTGTCCGGTCGTGTTCTCTAAACGCTGAGGACCAACAAATTAATAGCATTAATCCATATTTTTTTATTGTAGACATTTAACTTTGAACAGTGGCTATTTTGAAATGACAAAACAGAATGGGATAAAAATCTAAGAATAGAGTGATTAAGACAAGTGCTTTCAAATGGTGTATTACTTGCCATATGATCCAATTTAAATTACGTCACTAAAACAATAAAATTATGAAGAGATGCCTTGGTTCGGTAGCTTTAAAATGTATTATTAAAAGTTATATAGTTTATAAAATAGATGGGGTTTGGAGACTTTGCACGGACACTGTATGAAAAAATGCACAACAAATTTGTTCCATCGTGTGATTTAAATTTTATACCATGTTGCGAATTATTTTCACGTTTTGAGGTTTACCAACGATCTTACCTTGGTATATTGTGTCTTCGATTAAAGGACGCAACAATAACTTGTGTCAACAGTGAATTAAAATTTCAATTACAGTGTATACAGCGAAATACTTTCTCAACATTTTGTTCTTGAATTTTTCTTCGTAATGACATTATTACAAGAGCTACGTAATTTTATTTGCAAAGGTGCAAATAAAAGTTTTGTAAATTATTCAGCAATAAATCTGAACAAAATAAAGATCACTTGAAGGATAAATTAGTAATTCCAAATAAAATGGTAATTGAGGGTAGTAAAATGGAGATGTAGAGTTAGAGCAGAATTAAGTGAAGGAAGTAGTGATAAAACAGAAATCTTGATACAGTGTGGCAACAATCGCTATAATACAAGAGAACTCAGACTAGGATATCTTGAAAATGCTCTACATCAATCAGTGAAAGAAAATATCCCTGTAACAGATATTTATTACAAATAATGCGAAAACGGGCTATTTTTAGCAAGAAAATCTTCACAGAAATATCTTTTTACTCATCTAGAACAACAAAACGAGAAAGGCGTCTAACTCTCGTGACTTCACACGAGACACTCTACTTTTAGGAATATATGTTTATCAATCGCAAAACAATCATTGTTCAAGGTCAAGATATATGTCAAATGACAAAAGAGAAGGAAAAAAAGAGAGAAAGAAAAACAGTTCGATCACTAACCTAAAAAAAATAATATAATGTGTAAACATTAACATACATGTAAGTAACTGTCTGGATAGAAAGTTTGGATATGAAAGAAGATATCTGGATAACTTCAAGATCTAAATTTTAAATCCGTTAGCTAAGATTGGTTCGGAATTGGCGCCGGATAAGTTGTAAAATCTTCATTCGGCTGGACTCTTATTTAGGAACTCGAAAGTACAGGTTTAGAACTAGCTCCCTAGCAGGCCCAAGGAATTTGCATTCAAAAATTTGAATAATGCCGCAAAAACATTTTCGCCCATCATTTTTTTGAATTAAAAATGAGCTCTGCAAAATATTGGAATTATTCAAGGAATTTTTAGGTTATGTATACAATTTTTGGCAAACTTCTAAATAATTATTTTTCGTGAATTTGAATGGCGGTTAGGTTTCTCTCCGATAATTCAAATTCGAAAACACATTGTTGTTTTACCCCAGAAAAATAACCTCATTGCATGTCGTAATACTATTTTCGATATATTTTCGTTATTTCTAATGGTGGGATCATGTTTGCCATTTTCAGACCGAAACAACTCTAAAATAAAACTAAAACTAGATTTTTTGATGATCTTTTTTCATGTTTTAAGCACAACTTAACTGTATTGAATGAAGAAATTATTCATAAGATTTTTTCCATTTTTTCTAATTAAGGTCATGTTCCATTTCATACGAATAATACTCTAATTAAAAAAATAATTATTTCGTGATTTGTATGCAAATTAACTTTTAAGCAATAATCTATTAAACATTAGGTACATAAAAGTCCCCTCATAAAACTAAGAAATGAAATAAAGTTGAAAATAAACGAATGCATTAAGTATAACTATATGCATGTTGTGTCACTTACACATGAAATTAAAATTTATGCAGTAAAAAGCTTTTAATATAAGTAAACAATACTTTTTATTCAATTTTAAAAATACAAAACATCGATAGTGATAACTTTAACTTAAATTATAAATACGAAAAAGCTAATATAAAAATGGAAATTCCGACTGAGAAATCGGAAGACACAACTAACCTGAATAAATATCTTACGAAAAACTTATTTAGCCATATGTAGTTAAGGTTATGTGCTAAAAACATGGAAGAATGTCAAAAAAAGCGTATTTGTCGTATTTGAAGCATGTTCTGATCTAAAAATGACAAATCTGATCCCGCTCTTGGAAATAACGAAAACATATAAAAAAATCGTTATTTACTGACAAGCAATTAAGTTTATGTGCTAAAACATGAGGAAAACCCAAAAACGCGTTTCTTTTTTAATTTTGAGGACGTTCCGGGGAGAAAATGGCAAGGTAAGCACGCCATTCAAAAATTGAAAAAAAACATGAAAAATAATTATTTTAGAAGTTTGCCAAAATTACCTACATAACCTAAAATTAAAATAAAAATCAAATATTCTAATCTGAAAAAAAGGAGTGTTTTGGACATTTGGATCGATCAGGAAATTGTTTTTTTTTTTGGAAAGAACACATTTTTTGCGATATAAGACCACTGGGCCCACTTAGGGAGCTAAAACATTGGCTAAAGGGTTTTCTAAATATGTACTTTCGAGTGCCTTTTCCTAAATAAGAATCCAGCCGAGCTAAGATTTTACCATCTTATCGCACTATAGCCTTTAAACGCTTTTATTATTCTTTAGATTAGTGACTTGATATAGTTTTTCGATTGTCTGAGGCTGTAGCATTGAAAGAATATAGATTTGTCAAATATTGCAATGTATTGAAATTAAATAATTAAGAGGTGGCTCGATTCTGGTGCGGGACTACATTAATATATTTTTTATAGTTACTTTGAATAAGAAAATTACAGACATTTTGAACTAATGAGACTGAAATATCTTGTATGCTCAGGCTTACCAAAAAATGCATTTTTTGGAAACTTAAAGGTGTTCAAGCTGCTTGAACTTGAGCTCAAAAATTAGATCAGACTTGGCAAGTTACTATTCGTTAGAGGGTAAACTCTAGTGACGCTGATGTACGAGTGAAGGCAAATGTCTTGATATCATTTATTAATTTTCATGAATTAACTATCAAACTCTTGTCTCAACTGTTTAAATAAGAAGTGTTATTAAAGAATTAAATGAGTACGTTGACAGATACTGTATCATATCGTTGCAGATGCTAAAATTCTTAAAACAATTTCATGTCAATGTTATATTCAGTTTCAAGTAATAAACTGTTGCACAAATAATCCAGATAAGAGTGGAAAATAGTACACTCAAATCATCTTAATTAGATTAGCAATTAAAAAAAAAATGGAACAAAATTTTGTTTTTACTGCATTTTTTTTTCAGTGACTGTAAATATCCGAATTAGTGATTCGAAAATATTATACAGTTATATACGAAAGCCAATATAAAATACAGCCAATAGAAGTAAAAAAACCCTCATAGTTTAAAAACAGGGACAGTAGAATGTCCAACCATATATCAAAAAAATATTTAACATTATATAATTCCAAGACTTTAGATAACCTAAGAAAGGCAAAGAAGAAGACCATAATTTTCTATAGTTACTCATAATTAATTATGGATTGATTACCAATTAAAGTATCTAAATTAGATTAATCTCACTATCATTATACAAGAAGCGAAACAAAAAATATTCAAAATTAATACTACCTCAGATAACGGAAATCCTAATTTTGAGTTAATATTCTGTAAATGAAAGGTACTACCACCACCTAAAAAACTAAACAAAATTCTACAAATTCCTTAATCGTTTTAGTAAGTTTTAACTTTTAGTAGTTGTTACCACCAAAAAAACTGATACTGAAAAGAAATTGATAAGTTGTACCTTGAAAAAAATTAAAATTAATTACGAGAAATAACCCTATAGATAACAATAGGTATTTACAACAAATCCATTCAGACAAACCACTCATACACGTGAAAACTAAATAACCTAAGACTAGAGTAGTGGATGGGTGAGTTTTTGAATAAATTTACCTTGCCCTCTCGTATGAAGCGTCCTCCGTTTACGTTGACTTGCTCGATCTTGGGAGCTCTCTCGACTACGCTGTTGAGAAGATTCTGAAAAAAAAAAAGAAATAAAAACTTGGTTGGTGTTACGGTACAAGACGCAAAGTAACAAAAATATGGCATGACGAAGACCGATAGGTTAGTAAATTCCCTCGCAAATTCCTAGCAAATTTCTGGCGTTATTGCCACATTCAGTTAAAACCGTTATCTGTAAATCTTTTAAAGATAATGTAATTCGTTTTATGTTCATTCATTTATGTTTTTTTATTGATGAATTTATGATAATATATATATATATATATATATATATATATATATAATATAATAGATATATATATATATATATATTATATATATATAAGCGAGGTTTCTACAGATTCTGTCGTCTCTCGCATTTTCGACTGCCATCGTTCTCTGTCCATCCATTCATCTTTTTTGATGGCTCTATCTCTCATAACGTGTCGTACATTTCTTCCCAGGCAACTGAAGGCCTTCCCCTTCTACTACTTTGTTGTGGTATGTAATTTAAAGCTTTCTTTGGCCATCTATCTTCATTAATTCACTTCACGTGACCATACCACACTAGTTGTCTCGTTTCAATTCTTTTTACACTGGAATATACAGTATTTGTCTTCCTTCTAATATCTTCTTTCTTGACATGATCTTTTTTGGATACACCATAAGCTCTCCTTAGAAAATCCATTTCTACTACTTCTATTCCTTTTTTATCTTTTTTCGTGATCTGCCAAACTTCTGCCCCATAAGTCATAATAGGCTCTATCAAGATTCGATAGATTGTCAATTTCGTTTCTTGTTTAATATCTTTAGACCATTCATAGTAGAGTTTAGAATGTTTACCGCTTTTTTCTCTGCTGCGTTCTGTTTTCGATGTTTTTTTTGGTAGTACCTTCTTTATATATTATAGATCCGAAATATTTATATTCATTGCATTTTTTGTGTTTCTAATTTCTAACTCTAGATCTTCTTTATCATCTCCTATTTTAAGATATCTTATTATCGTGTTTGACATATTCATATTAAGGCCCCATTTTTCATATTTATTCTTTCTTCAGTTTTCGATCATCTGCGAAAAATAAAGTTGTTAGACATTTAATCACGCCTATGTCTATTCCCATTCCGGATACTTGTTTCATTCACTGCTCTAGCGATGATTGAATTTATATTTCAAATAAGGTCCAACATTGACATCCTTGTTTAAATCCCTTTGTTATTGAAAATGCTTCAGATATAAAGTTTCCTTATTTAACCACACTTCTTGCATTTTTGTATAAATTTCCGATAGCATCCACATACTCTCTACTGAGACCTACGTTCGTCAATGTTTTAAACAGTTTTTTCAAAGGTGCCGTATCGTATCCCTTCTCTAAATCTACAAACAATAGGTCGGTAGATAGATTCCTTGCCTTCCGTTTTTCGATTACCTGCCGCAGAACGAATATACCATCAGTGCATGATCTTCTTGCACGAAATCCATTTTGTTCTTTGTATTCTGATTCTATTCTTTCTTTTATTATTCTACACCGTACAACCTCCACACTGAGCTGATAACAGTTCATCATCACAGTCCATTAACATCTTAGTAGATGTGTTGTGGTTCATAATTGGGCTTCAGCAGCTCGGACAGTTTGATTGATAATATTTCTCCACTGGTCGCGGTCATCAGTTATATGTATTGCCTCAGTATACTGTTTATTTAGAAGTTTTTTAGTAATGTCCGCCCATCGCTGTGGAGATCTTCCGCGTTGGCGTTGAGTCTGAGGCCTTCCTTGGACCACCAACCCTCCATTTATGTGATCACATTCGATGGATATGGCCAAAGAACTTTAAAATTCTAGAGTAAACGGTACGGAAGACGGTTGATCCGGGGTTGTTTTGCTGGCAGAGGATCAGAGATTATTTGGTATTCGGCGATATCCGTACGATGTTGTACGTGCGGGGAGTAGACATGGAATCTTTTCAATTATGGAGCCTTATAAGCGTACGTCTGGGTTAACGTATTTCATTTTGAAGGGTTCAAATGGGTCTAGATGCTGTTTTAAGTGGGAAAGGAAGGGTGTGTTGGGTATTAATATGTGACTAGTTTGGGGGGGTCCATGAGTTAGTGTAACGGTATCACGGCAATTAACACGTGTGTGGTTGATCTGCATGTTGAGATAGTGGATTTTGTTGATATTATTATGGGAGTGATCTAGGAGGCGGTTGGGTGTTATTATTATAAATTGTGTGAGTGCTGTTATTTATTAAAGAGGATGAATGAAATTGTTTTGGGGGGATAGGTTTATGTGGGGTGGGCATTAAAATTAGAGCAGGTGTGTTGGGGGGGGGGTGGGGGGTTGGTAGATGGTGAATTTTTGTGATGATTGAATATGCTAGTAGGTGTGGGGGTGTTTTGTAGTTTAGTGAGGATTGGTGTAGTGTTATTTGTGTTGGGTTAGTAGGAGGGGTTTAATGGGGGGTATGTTATGTTATAATAATTGTTTTTTAAGAAAGAGAAAAAATTTTAAGGAGATGTGTTAAGAGAGTTGTGTGGGGTTTTGTTGTGGGAGGTGTTTTAAGAAGAGGGAGTTAGTGAATTGCGTGCCAGAGAGGTGCGAGGGTAGTGTAAGTATTGTGAAGAATGGAGTTTTGTGGAATGGGTGAAGGTGTTTGGGGTGTGTGTGGTGGGAGGTTATATTGGGGGGTTTTATAGGGGAGCGAATTTGTGAATTGGGGAAATGATTTATGGTGATTGTGATGGGGTGTTGGTTTAGGTAGGTTTATGAGTTGTGGTGAGGGGTGTAGAAGGGGGATGTGTGTGGTTTGTTTGGGGGGATAGTGGTAAGGGATGAAATTGTATGGTGATTTAAAGTAAGGAAATGGGGATTTGGGGAATTAGTTTGGTGTGGGTGAGTTAAAGGTGGGAGGGTGGGGTGTAGGGGATAAGGAGATGGAGGGGGGGGTTTGGGGTTGGATTTGTGAAGTGGGGGTATTGGTGGGTGGGGGTTTTTTAAGGGAGGTTGTTTGGGTTGGTGGAAGGAGAATTGATAATTAAAGGGATGTTGGATGTATATTGATGGTTGTGGGGGATATAATATGAATTTGAGGATTTAAGAAGATTTGTTTGATGTGAAGAGGATGGGGGTTATGTTGAGGGGGTTTGAGTTGAATAAGAGGTTTTTGTTGGGATGGATTAGATTTTTTTAGTTGGGGGGATAGGTTTTTGGGTTTGTGAAGGGGGATGATTATTTAGGGTATAAGGAGGATGAGGGAAGTGGGAGGTGTTTTAAGGTATTGTATTAAAAGAAAATATGATTGTTAATGGGGAATTTGAAGATGTTATGTAATGATGATTAGGGGGGTGTTAATTGTTTGAGAGGGGTTGTAGGTGGGGAGTATGTTCTTAGATGTCAGTTGGTTGGATTTTGTGTCGGCGTGTAGTTGAATTTCTCTGCAGATTTTCTCTATATGCTTGTTTTTGTCTCGTCTACAAGCAGCCTGAATAGCTCTAGATAGCTGTCGGTACTGGGAATTCCTGAGAGGGTTCTCGATTCCAGCAATTTTAAGTTTTCTACGTTCTTCAACGAGGTCAAAAGTATCTGCAGACATCCACACTTGTTTTGGTTCGGTTGAGACGGCATTTGATAACAGTTACTCCCCTATAATAAGAACATTTGCGTTTTATCCCCTTTCTTGAATATTGAGCTGATGTATCCAACATTCCAATCATCAGGGATTTTGTCCTTTTAAGCATTTGTTAAATGGTAATATTGTATTGTATCATGTAATATTTTTGGTCCATACTTTACCAATTCAATTTTGATCTCTCCAATCCCGCTGCTTTACCGTTTTTTCGACATTTTGAGGACATCGCTTAACTCTCCGGTTGTTATCTCAATTATTTGTGTATGTTCGGATATTTCTTCCATTTCGAACTCTTGGAATTTACATCTATCCTGTCAGTAAGACTTTATAATAGTTTTTCCACTATTTCAGATCTAGTAACTGTAAGTTAGATTTTTCTTTTCCTTCCCTCCGGAGAGACTTTATAACCTTCCATGCTTGCCAAACTATTGTTCCACCCATATACCTATCCACCTCTGCACATCTTCGATCCCACATCTCATTTTTACTTTTCACGACTTCTCTTTTTACATCTCGATTTAATTTTTGATATATCTTGTAATCTTCCATCTTTCTCGTTGACATCCATTTCTGATAAGCAGTTTTCTTCTTGTTTACTAACGTTTGTATATTCTCCGACCACCACCTAGTAGGTTGTATCCATGTAAATTTGTGGATGTTTATGTTGAAAAAATCCATTCATAATTTTTAGACAAATTGTTTCACAAAAATCTCCAAGACGCATTCCGTTGTTGTTCCAGTTGTTTTCCGGGTTTGACTCCGCGTTAAATAGTTGTGGTTTTTTGAAAAACCATTGTTTTGGCAAAGTTTCGGCAAGATCACACTTGCCATTGTCAAGACAGATTAGTTCTCTTCTTCTTAATGTTCTGGGAGAACTGAACTGTTCAGTTTTATGTAAATCAGGCACATATTTATGAAATTGGCGATAACTTGATGGAAATTCATGTTCAATAACAAAACAAAGAGAAAAATACAACAATATTTTTTTAATTCCACAGAATATCGTCAACATGTGTCAACACAGTTTTGCTGTACAAAAGTATCTTCAGAAAAGAAATTTTAAACTAACCAATAAGTTTAGTTAGTTAGACTCTAGCATTTCATACAGATTTTGTGGTATTATTAAACAGCAATTACTGTACCTAACAAATATAAGAACTTTATTCTTATAATCAATAATTAGGTCAGTAAAAATATTTCCGAAGATAAAGAATATTATACAAAGTATATTTCATACCTTGCGAGAAATAATCTTGTAATAGACAATACAACGATTGAGCGTGTGCCCTGTTATAAATATCTAGGTGCTTGGATCACAGACGATACTGATCAAACAAAAGAGATTAGATGTAGAATAGAAATCGCTAGATCAGTCTTTAATAGAATGCGCAAACTCATTTGCAATCGTGATATCAATATAAAGTTGCGAATACGAATGTTGCGATGTTATGTCTTTTCTACCCTGTTATATGGAGTTGAGGCTTGGACACTAAAACAGTTGACCATAAAAAACATCGAAGCCTTCGAGATGTGGTGCTATAGGCGCATTCTCAGAATATCATGGATGGACCGCGTCACTAACACGCAAGTACTCCAAACTTTAGACAAAAGATGCGAAATTCTAAATGAGATAAAAACTAGAAAGATGGAATACTTGGGGCACATTGTGAGAGGTGAAAAGTACGAACTTTTAAGAAACATCATGCAGGGCAAAAGAAGTGTGGGAAGAAGAAAAATATCGTGGCTTCGTAATCTACGTGAATGGTTCGGGTGTAGTTCGATTGAACTTTTTAGGCGCGCTGCTAACAAAGTCGCAGTGGCCATGATGATTTCCAATCTCCGCTAGGAGTGGCACGAGAAGAAGAAGAAGAAGAGAAATAATATTAAACAGAGAGCACTTCTAATTTTAAAAACTTACTCTTGTGGCATCTAAATGCTCCTTAGCTCGGTCCTTGATAGGCTGCAGAGTTTCTAACTTTCCATACTGCTCATTCAGCCAATCATCCTCGACCACTTTAGCTTCGCCGTAATTCTTTAATAAATCGTAAGCTTGCTTGCAACCTCTGAGCCTATCGGCGAGCTGCGCGCAGACGTTACTCCAACGGTTGTTCAATTTCTGGATTTCCTTATCCAAACGGTCGACATCGGCGTGAGGACCGCGTTGGTTTGGTCTCGACTTTTCTGTTAATCGTCTGGTGTTGTCGAAATCGTCGTTGAGCTGGTCCATGGCGATTTGTTGCTGGCCGACAGCGGATTCTAAAATAAGTCAAAATAATTATTATCGAGCTTCCATTATTTTTAAGAACTAAATATAAAATTGTTTTATAAGCCACTGAAAGAAGTTTACGTATTTGACTGCGCGAAAGGAGACAATTGTGGCGCAATAATAAAATGTGAACAAAAAATAAGCAATACTTCAGGTGCTTTGCAATCTGCACGATTTACGTCAATACAAAGGCACAAGGGTTAAATATTTTAACATCTTAAGGTGGGTACACATATGCTCCGAATGCCGTTTCGAACCCCGTCGCGTTCTTAAGTGTGGACGGAGTCATGCAACCGCGTACCGTACCTCGACGCGTCAACAACGTACATCGAAGCGATCCATCGGTTGTCGGTAAAATACCTACGCATCAAAAGAAATTTGAGCGCGGCAATGTACACCGCGAATTCATGTTTGGACTAGCTTGCGAATCTTTTATCGAATCTCCAGTCATTCAAAATAGTCAGTCTGTTATTTTGAAGGTTGACGGTATTTTTAAAGTTGAGTGCATCAAAATGGAATGGACCATCTCCTTTCACGAATATTTTTCGTTTTATTAACTGAATAATGCATAAGAATGTAGGCTGCTGCAGCAACATCCATCTTGCACATGCGAATTCAACTCAATTACTGCTGGAACGCTAAAATGTTTGGTACAAAGTACGGAGCGGTGTTCGGTTCGTTACTTATTTCAATGCCCCCTGTAACAACGTCGCGAACTTTTGTTGATCGCGTCGCTGTACGCGACGGGGTTCGAGACGGTATTCGGAGCATATGTGTACCCACCTTTACGAAAACAATCAAAGATGATACTCAATATTCGTATTAGAGGCCAGTTGTCAAAAGTTTCAAAGCGACAGGCGGCTTCTTTAAGATCGAGGAAAGAACTGGCTGAGGCTTTTTTCCTACAGAAAGAAGAAGATTTATGCCACTCCAATTAGAGACACCGGTGACTGAATTCACAAGGGAAGAGGTGACGGAAGCTGGCAAAACGCTCAAAGCAGGAAAAGCGCCTGGACCGGATAGAGTGATAATAATACCCGAGATAATAAAAACCATCATTGAGGTGCAATGGGCACAGGATATTATGAACAACCTGCTAAGAAGACAAGAGTTCCCAGGAGATCTGAAAACGGCAAATCTCATACTTATCCCTAAACCAGGAAAGGAATTAGAGGAGCCTGGGGCGTACAGACCTATATGCCCGTTAAATACCTTAGGCAAAGTCTTTGAGATTCTTGAGAAGACAAGGCTAGAGAGCACCGGCAGTATGGGTTCAGGAAAGGAAAATCTACGGTAGAGGCTATAAGTAGGATCAAAAGGAAGATATCCATATGTAGGAGCAGATGGATGGTGGCTTTCTTCCTTGATATAAGAAATCAGAAATCAGAGATCGTCAGAATACTGGGTGACTTGGGGATATCTTCCTATTTGCAGAATTTGGTTAGGAACTACTTTACAGATAGATGCATCAACATTGCGAGAGGTAACTCTATGAGAACCACGACAGGAGTGCCGCAAGGCTCCGTACTGGGGCCATTGCTTTGGAATGTTATGTACAACGAGATTTTGGAGACCGACCTGGGCACCGGCGTACAGGCAATAGCATATGCGGATGATCTGGTGGTGCTGGTGGAACACAATGAAAACTGGTCAATCATACAGAGAAGGAAACGAGCCCTCAACAAAGTGAAGACGTGGATGGGAAGCAGAGATCTCATGCTAGCGGCCGAGAAAACTGAAGCTATGATTCTCAAGGGTCCGAGGGCCAGAGACCATATAGTTTTTGTTCTGGAGGGAGAAAGGATCGTACCTGCCAAAAAAGTGAAGTACTTGGGAGTAGTCCTAGATACGAGGCGAATTTTTGGCGAGCACGTGAAATATGTCGTTAGCAAGGCAGAGGTGAGGACTGCGGCGCTGACAAGGATTATGCCCAATGTGGGGGGTCCGGGGACCGCCAAAAGGAGAATTCTAATGGAAGTGGTCCACTTTACTATACTTTACGCGGCACCGGTATGGCAACAAGTGCTTAACATCAAGAAATATAGACGAATGCTAGAGAAAGCCCAAAGGAAAGCACTACTAAGGGTAGCACGTGCATACAGAACAACATTAACGGTGGCCATACAAGTGATCGGGGTGTGTTACCCATCCACTTGATGGTGAAGGAAAGGACAGAAACCTACGGAAGGATGAGCAGGAGAAAATAATAGCTAGGAATAGCAGCCTAACGGAATGGCAGGAAGAATGGACAAATGAGTATAGAGTGGCCTGGACGAGGGTACTGATTCCAAATATCGTAGACTGGATGAAGTGCGGGACAGAGACACGGCTCCTTCAGGGCCTATCTAGAAAGGATAGGGAAGGTTGCGGATGGAAACTACACAGACTGTGGAGTGGCTGACACGGCCGAGCACTGAGTGCAGAAGATTTGATGAGGACAGAAACGAATTATGCAGAAAGCTAGTTAAGGTAAGTACAAATACCATAATGCAGGTAGCAATGAGAGGAAAGACTGAATACAAGGCAATATTGGAGACAGTAACTCAAATTGTCAGAAAGAAGGAGATATTAGAGAGGAATCTACAGCAAAGGTAGGTAAGAGAGTGAGAGAGAGGGCGAAAGAGAGAGAGAGGGGACGGGCTATTCATGTGATGCACCGGTCTGGAGAGGACTTACCGCATGAGTAGCCTGTATAAAGGGGGTGGACTTTAGTTGGCAGGCAGGGAGCTATGGGTGCATCTGTGAGCACGACTCCTTTGGGGGGACTGCGTGCGGATGGATCCTTCCACTCTGAATCCAACACACGCCAGGTCATCCTTAACGGGACACGGCCTGGTACGGTCTTTAGAAGATTTACCACAAAAAAAATATTAGTGAAAATAGCAGATATGGAAGTACTATTAAATGAATATAATTTAAAGACAATAATATTGCAAACAATAGGAGTTCAGGGTGAGGTGTGATGAACACAAGCATGACAAGCATTTCAGAAATCATGTCACCAGTATAGGCCATGAATGTTATCAAAATACCCAACATAGTGAGATCATTCAGCAGGTAGTAAGAAAACTGGAATACTAAAATATACAGGACTTTGGATCTGATCCCAATTATTGATATTATAAAAATATCTTACCTAGTTTTAATAGATCATCATGAACATCCTCCAATCCCTTTTTGGTGTTGGGAAGTTCGTCGAATAATGCCAACTTCTTCTCAAATTCGGAAATAACCTGGGTGGCGTCGTCCATTCCATTTAGAACTATCTCGATACATTTCAATCTTTCAATGTAAATGTTGCTAGTGTTCCAAATGTACTTCCATTTGTCCAAAACTTTTTCTAAATCTTTCTTGTGTTGTGGAGTCTTCAGCGTAATGGATCTGAAGGTATCTTTGACTTGTTCTATTTCTGGTTCCAGATTTTGTAGTCTCGATTCGAATTCTTTGTGTTCTAAAACTAAGTGTTGCAGAGTGTCAATGTCTCTAGGAAGTGGTGATAATACTCGTTGATTTATGATGCGCTCTGCTTCATCTAAGGCCAGTTGAAGGTTGGAAATCTGAGTGTTGAATATTCTTGCTTGGTTTTTGCTTTCCTCTGTAATAAAACGATTATATTAGTATTAAAGTAATTACAATATGTATTAATAAATTATGTTATAAACATTAACTAGGAAACTAAGTTCCTGTAGCTGGCTGTATACCATATATCACAAAATTTTTTTATTTAAAATCCTTTATAAAAGGTATATAATTAAATGGCCAAACGGGCTATCACAAAGAAATTGCAAAACGTTTTTGGATTATTAAATCCATCATCAGTGCAAACCTAAAAGTAAATAACCACTTTAATTAAAAGAACGTTGAATTTAAAATGTTGACTAAGGTTAAAGAACATTGTGGTTAATACTTACGAGGTATACATGCTATGAGCCACCAAAATATATGGGTCCAAACCCTTTAAATGATATAAATTTACATTTGATTTACATTATACGTAGTTACAAATTATGATGTTTAAGTTACCGTTGGAATTGGTAACATAGTAACATGGTAGGGTCATACCTCCACCGCGGAGATGGCACAAATTTCGACATTTCTTTATAAAACATCTAACAAAATTTAACTATACAATTATTTATCAAAAGGTAATTAATTAGCAGAGATAAATGTTAAATGTCAAAGATGATAGACTAAGTATTCAATATAACAGATATTTTGATTGTAGACACAGATGAATTCAGTAAAAATCATAAAAAGAAGAATGAATAAAGCAGTGAAGTAATGTGTATTACTACTGACATTTATTACACCTACCGAATATAATTCAAAAGAGATTACTTACCTTCTGCTCTAGCACGCTTCTCGAACTCATCAAACAACCTGTTAACTTCATCCATTTCTCTTCTCAACCTTCTTAACTGAGGATCAGATGGATCTCCTTCGGCCATAAGTTTATCTGCATCTTCGTTAAGAGCCTTTCTGATGGCGTTTCTTTGTTCGGCGCCAATGGCGATGAATTGTGGTAAATCCCAGCCTTTCACAACTTTGATGGTAGCGAAGATCATATTTTGTCTCATCCTAAGAAGAGGTAAGATAATTTTAATTAAAAATTAATTATATAATCGATTATATAGAAAAAAAGAGAAAGTTTAAGAACAAAAAGTTTAAAAATAATAAAACTAGGCAAATAAAACTAGGTTTATGGGCAGTTTGACGTAGATTTTTAAAATGCCAATCCTAGCAGCATACGGTAAGTAAACAGTGGCAGAGGCAAGTTTGTCTGAATAGCAGAAAACACTAACACTTAGCAATAACTAGAACGCTTCAGATACGTCACTGAAAGAATTCCGAGATTTCGATCGTTCCGTCGGTCGAAGAAGTTTGAAAAAATGCATTATTTTTGTAATTTACATACATTATTGTAATTTGAGAAATAATGAGAAACTACAAAATAACGAGACGAAAGTAGAATTCGCACGACAGCTGAGATCCAAAATCGACGAAAGACAGGACAAAAATTGGGAAAACGATTAGCAAAGCCCTTGTGGAAACAAGTGAAAACGTGCTGGGCCTAAAGAAAGACGTAAAGAAAGAGTGGATTACGAGAGAAACGTGGAACAAAATAGAACGTCGCAAACACATTAATCTAGAATTACTAAATTCCAAGACAGCAGCAGAGAAGAACCGACTTAGAGAAAGTTATAGAGAAGCGAATAAAGCTGTCAAGAAGGCAGCAAAGAAAGACAAAAGAAAGTGGGCAGAAAATCTTGCCGAAGAAGCGCGAGTCGCCGATGAACATCAAAACATGAGACAATTATATAATATCACTAAACAACTAGCCAATAAAAGATATACTACCCACCAACCAATTGTAAAACGTGCTACAGGTGAAGATATTACAACGCCACAGGAACAAGTCAAAAGATGGCATGAATATTTTAGCGAATCTCTAAGTGCAGTCCCAACACCACCAGAAGACGCAGAAAACCTAATACCCAATATCCAACTGAGAATTAACACCAACGAACCAACAACGCAAGAAATAGAAATGGCCATAGAAAAACTGAAAGCACACAAAGCAGCCGGACCTGACAATATTCCACCAGAGTTGTTAAAAGCTTGCCCAGGTACAGTGGCAGAGCTAATCCAACCACTCTTGAAAAGGGCTTGGAGAGAGGAAAAGTTCCCCAAAGAATGGAAAACGGGATTAATAATAAAGATACCAAAAAAGGGTGACAGAAGATATTGCGAAAACTGGAGAGGAATCACACTTCTGAATACTATAAATAAATTAACAGCAATAATTATAAACAACCGACTAACAAACAGTGTAGAACCAATGTTGAGGAAGGAACAAGCCGGTTTCAGACCAAACAGATCATGCGTGGACCAAATTAACACACTAAGAATAATTGTAGAACAGTCACAGGAATTCAACTCTCCTCTCTTTGTGTACTTTGTGGACTTCAAGAGAGCTTTTGACACGCTCACACATACGGCCATATGGAAAGCACTGAAGGAAATAGGAATACCAGAAAAAATAGTAAATCTCATCAAAGAACTCTACAGTGACACAGAAAGCAAAATCCTACACAACGGCATAACATCTGACCCAATAGCTATGCTAAACGGAGTAAAGCGGGCTGTGTTTTATCCCCTATACTATTTAACATTGTACTGGACTCCGTACTAACAAAGGTAAACTCTAATAGAGGAATTTACTGGGATTAACAAACAGACTGGAAGACCTAGATTACGCTGATGATATATGCCTCCTAGCACATACAAAACAGGACATGCAACTCCAAGTAAACAAAGTACAAGAAGAATCAAAGAAGGTTGGTCTAGAAATAAACATCAACAAAACCAAAGAAATGCGATTTGGTGCCAGAAACAACCAACCTATTATGATCAACGACCAAAAAATTGAGAGAGTAGCGGAATTTGTATATCTGGGCAGCATAATTGACTGTAATGGGGGTACAGAGCGTGATGTACATGAAAGAATAAATAAGGCTCGCAACGCCTACAACATGCTTAACAACATATGGAAATCCAGGATTTACCCAACTAAAACGAAACTAAAAATCTTCAACACAAATGTAAAAGCTGTATTACTGTATGGCTGCGAAACGTGGAAGATATCAGCACCCATAGTACACCAATTACAAGTTTTCATCAATAGAGCGTTACGAAAAATCCTTCGTATATTTTGGCCTAACCGAATCTCCAATGAAAATTTATGGAACCAAAGCAACGAAAGCAACGAAATGTCATAAAGCAAATAAGGCGAAGAAAATGGATATGGCTGGGCCACACACTGCGTAGACCGCCAAATGACATTGCCAGGACAGCGCTGGATTGGAATCCCCAAGGCCGACGGAAAGTAGGCAGACCTAAGGGAACTTGGAGAAGGACAGTACTGGACGAAGGGAGAAAAATGGGAAAATCCTGGCTTGAACTCAAAGCACTAGCCAGAAATAGAGTTCGCTGGAGACACTTTGTGGAAGCCCTATGTTCCTCTTAGGAATCTTGGGACTATATATATATATATAATATATATATATATATATATATATATAATATATATATATATATATATATATATATATATATATTGTAATTTACAATAAATATTAAACCAAAAAACTAAATTATAGTCTCTTTTACACAATAATTATAAAAAAAAATACAGTTAAACTATAGTATTTGGTAATAACATACCTAAGTTGTTTCTTTTGCCATAAAGACAAAGACCGATCATACTGTCGTCGCAGACGATCAGCAGCATCCAAAGCGTCTTTATCTGGTGGTGGAAGGACGAAACAAACTCCAGGAACTTGACACTCGATTCCTTTAGAATTGTGAACACGCCATTTGGTACGTCCAGAGTTATCCGTCAAGGTACATTCCTTATTCTTTTCAATTACAAACTAAAAAATATTAAATCAAAATAAATAAATAGATGTAATATTTATATGTGCTAATATCAAAAGGGAAAGAATAGAAAGGTAAAGAGCTTCATAAGTGTCTGATACTTACAGTGTTCTGTTTGTAGTTGCAGATAGCAGTTACTGTCATAGGTCTGGTGACGGGCTGTCTACGTTGTTTTAAAGGCACTATATCTTGGGCACGGGCAGTCAAGGCTTGCACCTGATCACCGAAATTGTTGAGTTCGTCCCTGAGGTTTTGCATACCCTGTAGAAGTTTTTCGCCAACGTCGAGACTGAAGTCGCCTTGGCTAAATTCGGTATTCATGATTTCGTCTTTTCTAAAATACAAAACAAAGAATTAAATATCAAAAGAAGTTATTGAAACAAGAGTCAACTAGTATCATTTAATACTTATTTTAGACTATACAGTGCGTTAAGTTTTGGATTAGGTATACACTCTATAAATGGCAACACTGCGCGTCGTCAACTTGCACTACATATCTGCTTCGTTGACTCGTCGTTGCACGTCGCCCGTCGGCAAATTTGTCCTATTGTCATTATACCGTGGTTGTTTAAAGGTATAACAGCGTAGAGTTTTAATTTATTTTTGTAAACATGTCTGTTTATATGGCCGCGGAAAAAGCTCAAATAATAAAATGGTTTTATAGTGGCAATTCTGCGCAACAGTGTGTTAGATTTATTTTCTGTGTTTTTTGAAGGAAGACCAATTCCTTGTGTACAGTCAATTTATAATATTGTTAAAAATTTTGAGAGTTGTTATTGCCTCAAAAATTGCAGAAAATGTCACGCTCAAGAAGTGTTACCAGAAAAAGTTGAGGAAAGAGAATACCGGGATACACAAAGTTGTGCAACAATCGAGGTAGATTCAACACGTTCAAGTAGAAGCGTTGCTAGAGAGTTAGATGTTAGCAATGTTACTGTAACGAAACTATGGAAAAAGCACGGTTACAAGAATTTTAAATATTCGAAAACGCAGCAGCTTTATCCAGACGATTACTTTCGAAGAATGGAGTTTTGTGAAACTCTAATAAGGAAGGCTAATAGTGAACCAAATTTATTAAAAACATTTTATTCACTGATGAATCTTCTGTTTCGTTAGTAGGGAGACACAATCCTTCCATTACGAGCTATTGGGCGCGGGAAAACCAGCACAGAAGTGTTGTTTACCGAACTCAACGTCCTCAAAAAGTTAACGTCTGGACTGGCATTTTAGGAGACCACATAATAGGCCCATTTTTTATTGAGGGCAACTTGAATAGTAGAGTATACCTCGATTTGCTACAGAATCATGTTCTTCCCGCAATTCTCAATCTTCCTGATGTAAATCTGGAGAATGTTTGGTTTCATCAAGACGGCTGTTCAGTTCACAACGCTCGAATTATTAGGGAGTATTTAAACAATACTTTCCCAAATCGAGTTATCAGTGGAACAGGCGATATTAAGTGGCCTGCGCGATCTCCAGATCTTACACCCATGGACTTCTTTTTTTGGGGACATGTAAAAAGCATTATCTACGATCATTCTGAGGCTAGAGCCCAAAATTTTGATGAATTAAAAAATCGAATAAGAGAAGTCTCCAATTCTGTTACAGCAGAAACTCTTTCATCTGTTCGCAGAAGTTTTTATGACAGATTGGGGTACTGTTCAGCCGTAGAAAGTCAACTATTTGAACCATTTCTGTAGGTCATACAGAATTTTTTTTTATTTTATTAGGAATAATATTTTAATTTTCAATAAGAGTATATTTTTTATTTTATCTTTTTAAAGAAATACGCTTTTATTTTTAATTCAACCACAAAAAAATTTTCACATTAATAAAAATCGATAACAATGCATCTAATCGATTAGGTCAGTGCATTTTTATCGAATTTCCTACTATTAAAATCGGCTATACGTAATGAAACATGAGATTGGACGACAGAGAAGTACATCCCTAACGTTGTTGTGAGTTACTAAACTAAAATAAATGATTTTCTGTCGGTGTAGATTTTCGGGTCGGAGAACGAACATTTGCAACGTTGCCGATTTTAGCGCTCCGTATACTGTGCAATACCTAATCAAAAACTTAACGCACTGTATGTACAAGAATGTTTTCACATGAGCTGCTTTTTCAGCTAATCTCACTGTCACATACAGTATTTAAAAGGTAAGTGAGTTTTTCTGATTTACTGACAATTTATGAATTATGCCAATTGATTTTTATATTATTCACAACGAATATATCTTTATTTTATCGTTTGCTATTTTAATTAATTACCTAGCTATTTCAATACTTCCTTTAAACACTCAAAACCACAGCAATTCATAAGATCATAATTATAACATATTTAATTTTGTTACTTACTCTTTAAGCCACTCTTCGGTAGCTTGGACATCCTTGAAGAATGCTTGATAATTTCTGGTGTTTAGCAAATGTGTTTCCAAACAATGTGTAAGTTGTAAAAGCCAAGCCCATTGGGCGTTCATGGCGGCCATGTGGGCTTCGATAGCTTTCGTAGCCGGGTGGTTTTGAAGAACTAAGCATTCACCTCTTTCTAGGACGGAATTGAATTGGATTTCTCGTTTTTCTAAGTCGCTCATAAGATTCTAGAAAATAAAATGTACATATTTATAATCAGTAGATTTCGTCGTTTTTCAAAATTAACATTATTATTAGACAAAACATGAATAAATGCGCCATAGGAACAAGTAATCTTTTGCCTGACCAAATTTACGAAGTATACCAACATATATTTAACAATTCTCTAATATTTGACCGATTATATGCTATATTAATTTGGAAATTCTGTAAAACTTTGTCTGAATGATAAGAAAACAACGTAAAGAAATCATTGAGATAGTTACAAATATACATGTATATATATATATATATATATATATTAATATATATAATATATATATATATATATATATATATATATGTTTTGCAGATGATACAACCGTTATTAGTACCGACCAGAATCAATATAATTTAAATAACAAAATAGGAAGCGATGTGCTTAAAATTAAAAACTGGTTTACACATAATAAACTAAAACTAAACGAGGATAAAAATCAAAATATAGTTTTCAGTTCAGATCGAAGACACATTTTTGGATATAGCATCAAATTGTTAGGGATTTTTATGGATGACAACTTAGATTGGGGCATCCATATAGACAACTTAAGTTCTAAACTCGCCAGTACAATATTTGTAATGCGTAACCTGGTTTATTTGGTACCTAAAAGTACCCTTAAAATGTGTTACTTTTCATTGTTTCATAGTCATATACAATATGGAATAGCTGTTTGGGGCAACTCTGGTCATGCCGACAGAATATTTAAATTACAAAAGAAGGTGGTGAGGATACTTGCTGGAGCGGATTTAAGGGATCATTGTAAACCATTATTTTTGAACATGGGTATTATGCCTCTACCTTCGCTTTATATGTATGCAACACTGTTGGAAATTCACGATAATAAAAATAAGTTTACTATAAACTCCCAATTACATGATCATCTAACAAGATCGAGGGATTTAATTAGGTCACAACGATTCAGACTCTCAAAGAGCACAAAGAATTCAATTGATATTCACTTGTATAACTATCTGCCTAACGAAATAAAAATTCTGTCTCCACCACTGTTTAAAAATAGGATCAGAAAGCATTTTTTAACATATTGTTTTTACTCAAAGACAGAATACCTCAATACACCTTTATAACGTATACCCAGTTTGGTCAGAATACTGTCGATTTACTATCTACATATCACATTGTATTATTACTATTAAAGTTTTATGTATTAGTTTATTTAGTCATCGATTCGGGAATATTCTTAATTATTTGTACATTTTTGTTACTTCCATATTTCAAAGATTTTTTATGTGACAGTTTAGGTTTGTTTAATTTTAATTCTTCTGCTAATACTTACATATGTATATTACTTTAGCCAATATGGTTAAGTTAATTTTAAGTTTACATTATGATATCTTTTATTGTATTTTTTATACGGACTTCAAACTTTATGTAAAGTGGTCAATAAACGTTCTATCTATCTATCTATCTATATTCGTATGAACTTTACACATTGCAGTTTTTACATAAAGAAAAGGAAGAAAAAAGTGACAATAACAATAATAAATAAGTAAGTAAATAAGTAAACACTGACACAGAACATATAAAATTAAAAATTTTAAAATTAAAGTCGAAGGTTACATCCTCGAAGCCAATTTGTCGCCTTGGGAGTAAGTTGGTGGATTTCTTGAAGGCTGCCAAAGAACTTGGTGGCTGGACACTCGAAGACGATGTGGTTAATTGTTTGTTCAGCGGCGCTGCATTTGTCACATTCCGGGCTGGCATTTATACCCCATTGATTCAGCGATTTGTTACAAATTTCATGACCAACTCGTATTCTATTTAGGTTGCACCATTCACGACGGGGAAGAGAAAAGCCGTCTGGTTTGGTTGTGGGGTTTTCTATCAGATTGGAATTTCTGATGTCTGGATTCCATTCTCTCATCCAGTGCTCTTCGGTAGTGAAAACTGCCAATTTTGTAGCAGTTCTAGTAGGTGGATGTCTGGATTTCAGTCTTAACTGCCTTTGGTGTAGTTCAGCGATGTCTGTGTTTATCGTAGTTCTGGGTTTTGTTGGCATTTTTGAACTAGAGTGTTGAGTGCGGCTAGTCGTCTTGTTGCTGGTGGAACGATGTTGCTTAAAACTGGAAGCCACTGGGTTGGTGTGGGCTTTATAGTCCCCGTTATGTGCCTCATTGTTTTATTTAACTGGGTATCTATGACTTTTGTGTGATGACTGTTTAGCCAGACAGGAGCGCCATATTCTGCAGTAGGATATACTAAGGACAGCGCGCTCGTTCTTAGTACCTCTGCATTCGACCCCCATGATGTATTTGCTAACTTATGGATAATATTATTGCGGGTCTTAATTTTTGCTGAAGTGTTTTCCGAATGCTTTTTGAATGTTAGGGTACGATCTAGAGTTACGCCGAGGTATTTTGGGTTAGCACTGTGCTTTAGCCTGGTTCCATCGCATTCTATGTTTAGTCTGTAATTTGCCTTATTATTGTTTAGGTGGAAAGCTGTTACTTCAGTTTTCGATGGGGTGTAAAGCTAGTTCGCGTCCGTAGTAGAATACTACACGTGCACCCTGGGTAACGCTAAATGAACTAGCAACAATAGAACCGCCAGACCTGTCTCTCGTAGATCTCCTGGCGAGTACATTGCAATGCATAACACAAAACGATCAAATATACATGTAAGTACAAATATACGGACATAATACCAAACATAATAATTTAAAGAGAATCAATGTAAAGCTTAAACGTTAAGACAGATTATCCAATTAAATAAAGATTTAAATATTAAAATTGAAGAATTCTGTAAAGCGCTTAACCAGTTATAAACAGAAAATTACCAATATTAAATAAAATACCCAATGAACTGTTAAATATGAAGGTGGGGATCACATCATTGGGCGGAGTTACAAATATATACAGAATGAGTTATCAAGTACATCATCATCATCATCATCAATGGCGCTACAACTCTTCGTGAGTCTTTGCCGCGTTTACTATTGCCCTCCATGTTTGTCGGTCCTGTGCCAGTAATTCCCATTGTCGCACTCCATATTCTCTTCCCCAGATCTTCTCTGACTGCATCTTTCCACCTTTTTCTAGGCCGCCCTACAGACCTTGTTCCATCTGGCCTTTCCCAGAACACATTGTTTATAAGGCGATTGTCGTTACTGCGTATCACATGTCCTGCCCATCTGAGTCTATTGGCCTTTATATATCTGACTAGATTTTCTTTTCCGAATAGAGACTAGCTCGTTATTGTATATGCCCCTCCATTCGTTTGTCACGCTGTCTCTGCAAGGACCATATATCATTCGAAGAATTTTACGTTCCCATACCAGCAATTTATTTACTTCTCTTTTTGTTATCGTCCATGTTTCGCTTCCATACGCGACTGTTGGTCGTATTATGGTCTTATATATCCGGAACCTTGCACCTCGTGAAAGAAGTTTCGACTTCATCAGATGTTGCTTTGCAAAGAAAGATCTATTTCCTGCCATTATTCTCGTTTATCCTTACTTTATCAAGTACAGTGGTGTCCATGTTTAAGAAAGGTGATCAACTTGTATAATTCAGATTACAAAAGCATAAATCTTCTAAACACTATTTCAAAACTGACCACCAAAGTGATACTAACGTACTAACAAAATAAATACTCTCATTGTGTTACTAATCGATCTGTCGACCCGATTTACACACACATTTCACTTCCAAGGTGCAGGTCCAATTTGGGTATTACACTTAAAAGTTTGAAAAATTTCGGGATGAAATGGGACTCAATCCAAATACCCACTACATCTGTCAAAATTAAATGATCCCAACAATCCGTTAAGCTATTATAGAACAAAACTAGTTTTCTTTTGTTTTTATTATATTAATTCTATTACCTCATCTCCGTTTCCAAAGTTAAGCTGCTTAAAAAACAAAACAAAAATTAATCTAAAATATAGATCTTTTATAAACTCGAAATAAAACATTGACATGAATAATTGGAAAAACTGCTGGAATTAAAGTCATAAAGGGTATAATCGTGGATGTTAAAAAATAGCGCTTGAGTTAAAATATCATTATTAAATATTAGGAAAATCAATATCATTCCAAGAAAAATCGGGAGAAATCCATGATCATCTTTTTAACTGCAAATTCACTGACCAAGGGATTGTAAAATATCCGTAGAGAGTGAGAGGAGAGTCATACCTCGACTATGTAGACAACAATCAAGAACTGACAAATTGTATACTTTTGGTAACACTAGCATATGCCTCAGCTGCACGGGGGTACACGTACAAATTCAACAGAAAGAAAATACAAATAGTTCAGAACCAAATTATCAGAGAGTCTCTGAATATGCCTAAGTACGTTCAATTAAGGTACGTATTTAGGGATTTAGAACCACAGAGAATCCTGAGAACATTGGATGAAAAAACACACGTGATTTTCAACTATCTAGGAACCATCCGAGTAGACTATTGAGAGTGTTGACAGACTATGACGACAACCAGAGGACAGTACATAGGCGGCCTAGACAGCAGCATTCACGGTATTAAGACTGTACTAAAAATCTTCTGTTACAGCAGTCATGCCGTGCCAAAACAGTATAAAAAATATATCTAGTGAATTCTGTTTAACCCTACAGACAGAGAAGCCGTCCTCAGACAAAAGCCTTTTCAGGCACCTAAAATCCTTCAGGAAGTCAAAACTGGGGACCGATCAAACATGGGCTCTCTGGCCAGGCTCTTCGGACGCTCAGTCGATGAAGGGAACAGAATTTATTTTGCTAATTCGGCGGCAGAGTGACCGAGCACATACAATCCGGGCGGAGAGTGACTCGCTGTCCGGGACCCACATTTTTTGTACATTTTGGACATAGGAAAAAAGCTATTCTAGGTCGCTCAACCACATAAAATAAAACAGAGGATGTCTCATTACCCAGGCATCCAAAGTAAAGTTGAATACAAAGCCAACTCTTTATGTCCTCCGATGGGGAGGGGTGGTTGGTTAAAGCTCAAATAGGTACCACTCAATTATGGAGTGTGACAGGTTTGATCTTCGGACATATGGGTCCCACTGTGCCATTGGAACACATGTCACTCGGAGATGCTCTTTGAACAAAAATTGTGTGTGTGATCAGATGATGGGTGTAATTGTTGATAGATTACATGTTAAATGATTGGTAGAGGGAATCTTTATAAAACTATATCCATTTTCCAGATACACCTATATAGCTATGTAGTATCTGTTTAAAATAGTTCCTGAGAAATATTCATTTTATGTTACAAACCATCTATATACCCAGCCTCGTTAACAAATGTCTATTGACTAATACAAATCATATCAAACCGGGCGTAGGTACACTGTGTACAGTAAGAGTCTATCTATCACGTTATCGTGTTTGACCCCAGCGCCGATAATAAGTTCCCTTTTATGACATGCACTAATGTGAACTGGACACAATACCGACTGACAAGAGCTGTATTTTTGGGGCCTTGTTCTACGTTATTAATGTTAATTCAGTACTACTGGATAAACGGCTCAATAACGAAACAAAGACACTATGGAAATATTTCTTTTTCCATGCGAATAAACTATGATAACGAATTCACTTGAAAACTGACCATAATTTTCATCGAAAAATCATCTTCAGCAATGTTTTCTCATTTTCGAGATGAATAGATACATCAACAAACAGAATTGATGACGATATCAATCCAGATGAGATCTAGAAGTTTCTCATGTATCCCAAAAAGTTAGAGGATGACGCTAAGTGCTACACAGTTCATGTCACATTGGACATTTGCATGTGCCAGAGTCATTATGCGCGAGAGTCATGGAAAACTGCAGAGGACATTTCAACGATATTATATTCCGTACATAATCGCATCTAGAGGCCTTTCAAACGAAAAAAAAAAATTTGATATCTTTATCACGCTTTGTTTTATATAAATTTAAAGACACAAAGCGCTTAGTAAAAGAACGTATACATGCTAATACTTAATTAGTAGTATGAAAAAGACAGTCAACATTTGACTGTCGAAAACTGTTCGAAAACAGTTTACGGACTAATTAGTAGTATTTCCATAGATATGCGAACATTTTAAATTGGTTTTAAATGTATATAAAAAAAGAAAGGACAATACATAAAAAAATGCTTACCTCAAAATATTTTTCTACACCTCTAACATCTAATTTAGTATCACTCCAATCTCTGGTAACTTCAATTTCTTCTTTTTCGTTTAACCAACTCAGCTCATTTGTAGCACTTTGGATAAAGTCGAGTAAGGTCTCCAAATCTGTCATTCTAAAAAGTATATTATAGTCAATGTAATATCAGTTTTTTTTGTATGATCTAGAAATATTCGAGAATTATCATACATATTAATATAACATTCATGTATTTCTATTTTTTATTTCATTGTAACCAAACAAATTTAAGTAGATGTAATTATAAAAAGCAACTCCATAAAACTACTAATGGGTGTGAGAACAGGAGATACTATCTCGTCAAACTATTCAGCCGTGTTCTCGAAGAATTTTTTAAGAAACTAGAATGATACACAAGCAATACAGGCGCAAAGAAACAACAAAGCGCCGGGATTTGACGATGTCCCTTCCGAACTGTATAAATTAGGTGGCGAACATCTAACAACGCAGGTGCACGCGCTCATATCTAAGGTATGGAGGGAAGAAAAAATTCCTAGCGATTGGAAAAATGGGATTATCTGCCCAATCTACAAAAAAGGGGACAAACTTAAATGCGAAAATTACCGCGGCATAACCCTCCTATGTTCGGCCTACAAAATTTTTACATCCATCCTGAATAGGCGACTTCAACCATTATGTGAAAATATTATCGGCGAATACCAGACCGTTTTCGACAAGGCAGGTCGACAATAGATCAGCTTTTTACAGTAAAGCAAATCCTTAATAAAGCTTGGGAACACGATATTGATGTTCACAATATATTTGTCGACTTCAAACAGGCTTATGACTCCATAAATAGAAGCCGGTTATATAACATCATGGAAAGCTTCAATATTCCCTCGAAATATATCCGACTAGTAAAAGCAACGATGGACTCCACAATAGCAACTGTACGCATACAGTACGAATTAACTGACAGCTTCGAAATAGTTCAAGGGCTGAAACAAGGTGATGGACTAGCTCCAACACTGTTCAATCTGGCCCTTGAATATGTCATCAGAAAGCTGAATGTCGGAAGAGCCAATCTCCTAACAAACCAATCTGTCCAGCTCGCCGCATATGCGGATGACATTAACCTCATGTCCCGCAGAGTGGATGATGCAGCAGAAACATATTCGCAGCTGAAAAAAAACGGCCAAGGAGATTGGACTTGAAATAAATACACAGAAGACAAAAATACTAACACAGACGCGGACAAAGCGAACAAGAAATCAAATCAAAGTAGAGGATGGACATTGAAACAGTGAAAAGTTTTACTTATCTGGAAGTCGAAATGAATACGGAGGGAACAGAAGAGGCCGAAATTCAGAAGAGAATAATGAAGGGAAATAAAGCCTATTTTTCCCTGATTAACATATTCCGCTCCAAGACGGTACATCGAAAATCGAAACTTAAGGTCTATAAAACTATCATCAGACCGATAGTATGCTATGGATGCGAGACATGGGTTTTGACAGAAAGCACTAAACGAAGATTCGATGGGCTGGTCATGTGGTACGGATGGATGCCGACAGATTACCGAGAAAGGCCTTGGATGGTAAAATGCAGGGCAGAAGACCAAAGGGAAGACCACGTAATAGATGGGAGAACGAAGTCACAGCAGATGTGCACAACTTATTGAACGTCAGGGCTTGGAGACGAGTGGCGCGGGATCGCCTTTGTTGGAGGCAGAAGTTACAGGAGGCCAAGGCTCAATTTGGGCTGTAGCGCCATTGGAAGAAGAAGAAGAATGATACACAGAAGGTATGAACATTAGAGCATCACATCAGAGTAGTTAACAATATACCCTTAATAGCAAATATTCAAGAATTGATATAAATGTTACAATAACTAATGGAGTATCCGGAAAAAAGCTAAAATAAAAAGAAGTATCATAAACAGCTTTCGCTTAATTGGCGTAGATTCTGAAAAACAGTACCATTCGTATAAACTTAAAAAGAAATGTGTACAACACTTGTATACTGTAGGTTTGCACCTACGGATTATTGATCATGTCCCTTATCAGGAAGCTTATTAAAACACTAGAAGAAAAATCATAGGAAATATGCTCGGAGTATCACCAAGAGGCAAGATCAACACCCAAATAAGACAAGAATAAGTCATTATGGAGGTCGTAAAAATGAAATGATGATAAGCTATCAAATGGTTAAGAAAAATCCTCGGATAGGCACCAAGAGAGATAAAAAGAAGCACACATGTAGACATTCATCTATTCAAAACGTTGTTTAAAAGAAAGTTTTTTCTTTCCTATTATTTAAATCGGTTTCAATACCACTTAAAACTATAATCGCTAAGCATATCCTAAATATTTTCATACCTGCTTGTACTAAATGACAATAATTCGGCATAGATCTTTTGCAGCTGGCCTAAGAGTTGATTATACAAAACAAGTTCTTCGCCTTGGAAGTATTGACGAGCTGTTACACAAGCTTCCACCTTGGAATGGAATTGGTCGATCTGCTTGTGTTCTCTTTGATGAATGTCTCGTTCTGTAGAAACTGAGGCCAAATCATTTCCATAGTCTGCCTTTTTAAGTTGTTTCTAAGAATATGAACATAAAAACATAAAATTAACAATTTGTTTGATGTACTTATACTACAAATACTATAATAATTCCTAAACTATAATATTTCGACAAAAATTGTTAACTTGTTGATTAGATTATTGACTAATTGTATTGCAAAAAGAAAATTAAACACACTCATTGTTTTTGATTTTGGTAGATCATGTAATAAAGTGGGATGAACTCCGATTTAGGGGGAAGTCTTTTAATGGTTGTACCTTACAACATTACCATGTTAGTAATCGCAGTGTGTAATTTCATTCAAGCGCATTTATTTTAAGCTATCAATAAATTATTTTTTCCACTCTACTACAATCGACGAAATTATACATTGGTCCTTTGAGCCGGATGTATAATTTCGGTGACTTTTACTCGTTCTTCTCGATCCACGATGAAAGAATAATAAGCAGCCGATTGTAGTAGCTTGGAATAAATAATTTATTGGTAGCTCAAATAAGTACTTTTAAATAAAATTTCACATAGCGATGACTAACGTATTAACTAAGGTTCAAATACAAATAGTTTTTTTACGCAAAACGATACCTCATTTTAAATTTATTGTTATGAAAGCAACACCTTCTTAAGCGAATTTCAATATGTTATGATATAACTTAATTTTAATATATCTCTTAGGCTAATTAGACAAATATGAAGTTGCGTGAATTGAATTAGATATTACAATTGAAAACTAATTGTTTTCTAGAAAGTCCAGTGTGTCTTTTTTTCGGTTTATTTGTAGATTTAAAACAAACATCACAACATATAAATACATCTCATTCTCTACTAAAGGTAATCACGTCCACATATGGGATTAAATACTTAAATTACATCCATACAAAACTTACCATTTTATTTTTGCACCATTCGATATGTTCCTGTAGAGTTCTAAAATGTGGATTAGTGTCTACGTTTCGGGTTTCCTGTACAGTACGAATATGTTTGGTTACGGTTCTTTCTTCAACCGGGAAACTCAAATTTGCGAGAGGACCGACGATTTTATTGTGTAGCAAATGTCTCATATTTACCCATCTCTCGTGTAATTTGTTCACTCGTTTGTCTAAATCACTAGCTTGAGGATACCTGTAACAATATATTGGTTTATAAAATATACAAATTAAAGGTTAAACACTTAAAAAGTGCTTTTACGATGGAAAATTCAAATGAGGAACCAAAACAAAAGTTGTACAAAATGATACAAGAGTAGATACCAACTATATAAGGTGTTACATTTATACCAGATTAGATAAGCTGATTGATTGAACTGTGTAGTGATTGTTTATTAGTAAGAAGATGTATATTTAAACATAGCTCATTCAAGACATTGATCATACTCTACTTCCTTCGGTGAGTGAAACAATTTCCACTGATACGGCAATGATACAACATAAAACATAGCACTGATGCTAATTTCCACATTATTTAATAAACTTGACATGCTAAATTTTTCTATTACTGACCTGTATTTTTAATACTACGTCTATCGCTTCTAACGCGTATAAGTGTTGAAACGACCTTTGTTCTTAAAAGACGTTTTTTCTTTATAAATTATGTTTGGGGCTATAGTATTCCATAAACGAATACGTTTTCTTCTAAACCACTCCATTCAAGTGTTAATTATACATAATTTCTCTTAAAACTTTATTGGTTTTTAGTTAAGTATTCTTAAGTATATTATTTTCTCATGGGAACAAATATTTTGAACCAAAATACACATCCCCTTCCCAAAAATTAATTATTAGGCCTAATTAATAAAAAGTTCCTTTAGGGAAATTTAATTTATAAAAGGCCCTTTATCCAATTTTTAGTTCTCAGTTGCCATTGGCGCCTATTTTGTTTTAGAGTTTAGCTGTATGTAGTGTCTTTCAAACTTTGTCAAATATCAGCTGCCTCAGAAGAATAATGAGATGATGATATCCCAATTGCCTCCATCCTCCTCTTTCTTGCACTTGGTCTTACCTGCAGCTGCTCTTATGTCATCTATCCATCTCTTTTTAAAGACTACCTACGCTTCATTTCGTGTTTCTTCGTATTCACTCAAAGATGTTCCATGTCCATCTGTTATCACATCTAGTTATGAGGCCGGCCCATTGCCTTTTCATTTTTACCACCTCTTTCACGATGTCCCGGAGTTTGTTATTTATTTGTCTTATTTCGGTGTTTCTAAACTGGTCTCTGAGTGAAACCCCAAGCAAATTTTGTTTCATTGCTATTTGTGTCGTTTTTAGCTTTTTAAACGATTTTCTGGTAAGAGGCATGGTACCTAATCCATAGATACATACGCTAGCAAAAAATATTGCACACCTGCCCCTTTAAGTTTACAGAAATGGAGTTTTTTTTAGGATGTGGTCCTCTTTTTTATGTGCTGTTATTGGATTTGATATTGGATATAAATTTCCATAAAGTAAACTACACTTCCATAAATAACCGGTCAGTGCATAATATAACCCAAGTTCTGCATAAATTTCTATACCTAACCATAGATATATAACATCTAGACAGCACAGTGCCATCTAAAAACGTTCTTTTAGTGCGACAGGGAAAAAAGATACGAGTAGTCCTTGCATCTCTTTCTAATGGCCAGGGTTTATTGACCACGTGACCTTCTCATTATAAAAAAATCTCCAGTGGGAAGATCACGTGGTCGATAAACTCCGACCATTAGAAAGAGATACAAGGACTGCTCGTATCTTATCTCTGTCACACTAGGAGAAGAGGTTTAGATTGAAACGCTCAGTCTATGTATTATATGGACTTATGGACCGATCCTAACCAAATCTAACCTAATATTAGCAAAAATTGCTATAAACGTCTGTAAAATTCTGTATAAACCGCTTTCCTACACCTTTTCAAAGATTACAAACCAATGGAAATAATGTATGGACACAGCACGGTAAGAGACAAGGTATTGTAAAAGGTTCTGATAGATCCCACTGATGGAAGATGGGTAAAAATGAAAAAAAAAAATATAATTATTACCGATATAAAAAATAACTTACCTTCCGTTCCTCAACGTATTGACGTCGGTCTTTAGTGATTGTATGTTCTGTTCAATAGTAGCTAAGTCTTGGTCTATTTGATCTGCAATTTTCTTAGCTTCCAAGGGATGGATTCGTTCAATTCTTCTCGATTCGTTTTCGATTGCTCGTTCGATTGTGTCTAGATTCGAATCAGTTTGCTTGATTTCTCTAAAAATGATCAAGAACATTAATTATTTATGAAAATTTATTATTGAATGCTAAACAAATAATATTTTACTGATTTATTGTTTGGCTCATATCAGGATTATTGCAATAACCGTATACACATTTTGCATTATGGTCCTTCGACATTGCCGATTAAAATGACGTTATGTAGCCGACATGTGTGTGATGTGTACATAAATACGTAAGTCTAATTGATGATACAATTATACGGGAGTTTCCATAATTATTAGATTTTACTGGTTTACGTTAATACTGTGCGAAGTTTTAAATTTGGTGAATACATTTCAAATGATTTGTAATGATCCAAAAAAACTTTATTTTTAAAACCAAAACCTTAGAAAACCGAAGGGATAAGCTCGCTTCGTGCGAAACAGCAGGTCATTTCATTTCTGACCGCCGAGGGAGAATCAATTGTGCTGTGTTTTTCCAAAATATGTATCAGGTGAGTTGTAATAATTTTTCTATAGGCTATATTTTATTGATTTTAATGTAAATAAGGCACTAACAGATTCCTCTTTCACTTCTTTGCAGAGGAAAAATATACATATTTTATACATTCGCACATTTAGTAGAGCTTTGAAAATATTCAGTTTTATCGTCTAATAATGACGTCATATATGAAGCGCATATTGTTTATCATTTGACGATAATTAAACTATTCCTTTTTTAAATGTCGTTTTAGAAATATAACATAGTCAATTATGTTCCGTTTACACTAGCTCAACATTTGTAGTTAAGCGTTTGTAATCAACTTGCGATTATTTGTTATTTTTCTGTAGTTTTTACACGTACATACTTTTCTTGAGATCGTATCTCCAATGACTGCATAGACAAACATGTTTCTAGCGTTAAAAAGTTGACATACCTGTGAACCTTTTCGGCCAACCTCTGTAACTTTTCTAACCTCTTGATCTCCTCCGCGATTCTTCTATCTCGAATTTGGTAGGCTTCCATCAAACGCTGCCAACTCCTCTCGATATTATCAATGTGCAGCTCAGGTTCAACTTCAACCTCTCCAACGCTCCTACAAAAAATAAAGATCATTAACAATACGGATCGATAAGTGTATACAAAAGAGACAAGGAATTTATGAAAGTTGAGGGAATTTCGAAACTTCATTAACAAGGAGCTTATTTAGAAAGCTTAAGGGAGCTAAGGTGCTTAAGAAATTTATGAGAGTAGGAGACGTAACTGACGCTAGGAAACATATTTACGAAACTTGAGACCTAAAGAGACCTAAGAGACTTAAGATATGTAATATAACTTGCAGAATAAAAGACACAAAGTCAGTTAAGACTTAAGAAACGTAAAGTAACTTAATATCTACGTGTTTTAAAACTTTAAGGGGCTCTAAGATTTAGATAATACTTTGGATTGGAAAGTTGAGAGTATTATGGTAGCCATGATATACGAGCTAAAAATAAGATATGCTCTTAGATATACATACCAGTACAAGGAATAAGACCAAAGTATTTAATCAAAATAAAAATTCGCCTACCTGAAGTATTTCTCCAATTCTTTAAACAATTGCGCGCAGTAGTTCTTATCTCTTTGTCGTGGTGGTATTTCATCTGTTCTAAACTTCGACGATTCTGCGGCTAATTTTTTCATTTCTATCAAGGTTGGAGGGAAGGAATGGTCTTGCATCAACGAATACTTTTCTCTGATCCACATATGGAGAGAAGAAGCGATTTCTCTGTATTCCTGAACTCTCTGTTGAGCTGCCGAGTCGTACAGCGGGTGGATTGGTGGAGGCTCTGGGAAGACTTCGTGCAAGGAGGAGATGTAGGTGATAAGCGATTTTTCGTCTGGGTTTGGAGTATCGACATCTAAAAACAAACAAAATATTATTAGCATAAATCTTTATGGCGACAACCACAAAAACGTGTGTACTGATTTTACCCAATTATTATCGACGCAGATATCGGGTCATCTATCAATTGCTATCCAGATTTTACTTCAATATTAACAATACATATTTGCATTAAGTTACGATTTTTGTTAACACTGAATAAAGTGTGTTACCAAACAAGTTTCAAAGAAGGAAACGATATTAGTATTTTATTTATTTAGATGTCAGCTTAAAAGAGAGGAAAAAGTGGCTGGAAATACTACGTAAACTTTATGGAATTGTCTTATTATTATTATTACAGCCAGCCTCCCACAGAACGTGGAGAGGCACTCTTCGCTGGCTCACGTCGGCAAAGAGAAATAGAAAATTGATTATAGCGAAAAGAACAGAGAGCACGGTTGGCATCCCATATTAGTGTGAAATTAATAAATACAGTTTGGAACACAACTTCGTTAGATCACTCCATAGCACAATTAGCACTACTATTACCGTACCAGACTCTAACCGCATCGGAAAGGTAGGAGGGGTACGTACGTGCTATATATCAGCTTCCAACTTCCTTTGAACCGTTTTGATCTACCGATAAACGACGGCAGAGCACGCGCTCACCATAAACTAGACAGTTGTCCTTATCCCTCGGAGCGTAAACCACAAATATTGAGGGTAAAAACGGTATTCCGCGTTGCGTTGGTTCCCGTTTTGAATTTGGTTTTTTATTATGAATTTTCTGTCTCTTCGCTGATAAGATCACCGCTCCACCTTCTGTCAGTTCCTGGTTTTATTAAATTTTCTAAGTAAATAATAAACATAATTTATCTACCAACAGTTATCTACGAAAGATACACAAAAGATGACACATATAAAAGCATTCATTAAAATTGTTTTAATCGCATTATAAATATGTATTTTATAAGTAATAGACGATGTCAAAAACGTTTTTGATGTTTTTAGACATTAACGTAACACTACGCACGTGAGATGGCAAATGTTATATTAGAAAGCCAAAAATACTTTTAACAAAATTTTAGAAACGACATTTTTATATAGAAGAAAGATGATGTATCAATTTATAGCGGATAAAGTGAATGTATGTATTACGTCGGTCATAATTCTTTACTCAACAAACTAATCTCCTGCAGCGACGATTCTATTTACGAGCATACTAATGCTTTACCAATTTTTGGATGCCGTCCTTGTAAAATGATTTACCTTGGCTTTCAAAATAGGCTTCTGTTTCGGAGATTACTTCCTCATTGGAGCAATATTTCTTGCCACTGATTCGAAGCCTAATTCGTGCAATTTTACCATAGTTTTTTGGCAAGGCCCTTCTTTGCACTTTCGGTCTTCGATTGCTGTTGATTTTTTCTGCATTATTCAAATAGTCAATTAAAATAATTCCTTGTGGGTCCCAAAATATAGAAGCCACAGCTTTTCACGCGATTTGTTGCGTCTTTCGTCGCTTTGGACAGCTTTTTCCGGGTACTGTACACTCAGATGACTGCCAATTTGATTCCGAAGTGAAGTGATATATCCATTGAGATATTCTGATGTAAAAACTCATCAATTCGTTGGTGATTTTGATCTGGTGTGAGGAAACGCAGCACCCATTTGGAAAACAGCATACCCAAACGTTAAGGTATGCGCAATCATCAAGTAAGTAGGGGAGAGGGGAGAGCGGTGTGTGCCAAGAGGTTAATCCGACCGCTCAAATGGGCAGGGTAATGACAGCTAGTATTTACTTTAATAAGCTTTTCTCGAAACCACGTTTTTTCAACTGTGTCAATCGTATTTCGAAAGTATTGCACTTCTCAACGTAAATTAAACGGCACTCTTTAGATGTCTCTCTATGGTCAGTACTACAACCAAAAATATTCACCGTTATTTAAAAAATGATCGAAAAATTGGAAAGTCCGCCGTTCTGTTTTTTTTTTTCGGTGAAAATGTTTCATTTTTAGTACCGACAAGATGCCAATTTGGGACAGAATATGAAACCAATTTGTTTTTTGCTTTCAAATGAAACGTTTCCAAGAAATAACACCATCAACAAATTGGACGAGTTTGAGCAGCCATTTTCAAAGCCGCCATTTTGAAAAAAAAATTCAAGCAGTTTAATGTAGGTACCTACTTACATGTAAGTATTTAATTATGAAATATCTTTTGTACTATAAATTAATATATTTAAAAAAAAGTTTATTGGAGGAACCTGCCCTTAAATTTTACATAAGATAGGTTAACGAAACACCAATTATTATATTGTATTTTATAATACTAAGAAGAATATAATTAGAAATAAATCTTATTATGTGTAAATTCAAAAATTATAACTCCATGGGAGAACAATTTCTGTATTACCTTAGTGAAAAAATGTATAATTTATCACACTTTTTCCTGATTTCGTTAATGATCGTTTTCACGAATAATTATGCTTAAATTATTCCGCATTTACCGTATCGCAAATGTCAATGTATTGTAATGTAGATAGAATACTGGTAAATCTATTTTGAACACATATAATTAGTGTAGAAATTAACATTTTCTAGCTGTTACTAATGTTAATAATCATAGATAACTTTTTTACCTAAAATTAATTTTTTTAAGTAAATGTAAGAAACTGAAGATTATAACCAACAAAACTAAACAGATATTAAAAACTAGCAAGACAAAATAAAAGACGATTAAAGATATGATATCGAGCCAGAATAAAAAAAGCCGTAAAATATCTTTCGAATGTTCACAATAACTGGTGCACACTCATCCATTCTCTTTTCTTGCCTAAAAAAAAATTATTTCGCACGATCAAAAACTCGACCTTCACTCAGCCATTTAACTTTAGCCTAGTATACAGCAGAATATTCAGACTGCAATGAATTAAGAAACTCTTCAAAGTATCTATGATTGAGGGCTCGTGCACAAATGCTATTAACACGCTTTATAACAACATCAAGCACATGTTTCATGTTTAGAGCAGATTTAAAAAGGGCTTCTTGATGTATGACACAATGAAGAAATACTACTTTGAACCCAAGAAATAATTCCTAAACTGTCTAGGAAATCAGATTTTTACCTTGTCATATTTGGTGCTCCATCAGTAGTAATGTTACAAATATTGCTCACAGGTACTTTCAAGTGTCCTTAACCCTTGACATTATTTAGAATACCGCATTGCGAATATGTCTCGGAGCTTTCAGATCCAGTCCCACCGAAAATCTTCGTTGTGAAACAGGTGAACTTTCTCTTTCACTTCGCAGGCAACAACTTCCTGACATACTTTGCTAAAGTGTATTCAAATCAAAACAACCCTATATATAAGCTAATTTACAAATCCTATAATTGTGAGAATAACAGTAAATACCAGACATTACCCCAAATGTTACTTCCCCTTTCACGACCTGTTGATTTTTCAATAACAGATACTCATATACTGCCATCAACTCCTCCTTTGATTAATAGATAAATAGATAATGAAACTGCTGATACTGCTGCAAAAGAAGCAATTCGAACCAAATGAGACACCAATCTGTTTAACTAGCATCAGATCTAAAACCACTTTTCAGGTCCCAACTCAAAAAGTCCTGACAAAACGAATAGAAGAATTCAACCTCGAAATTATACAAAATACAACCTATCATCGAAACTTGTCAGCTACCCAACTTAAGTAGAAGAGACAAATTAATCTATCGCAGGCTAAGGATTGGTTACACATGGCTGACACATGGACACCTGATGGCTTCAGAGAAATCACCTGTTTATGAAAAGTGTAGTGAATCATTAACCGTTCAACATATTCTTACACAGTGTGTCAAATATGAGCAAGAACAAAAAAAAAACTCTATACAAGGTCTTACAAATGTGATCCTCAGCCAATTAGAACTTGTTCAGAATGTACTACATATCTTTCGACAAAAGAATTTGTATTAAAAAATTTAGTGTTTTTTGGACTTTCTCTTTTCTTTCTATCCATTTTTATTGATTGTGGTAGAGTATTGTATATCTGGTTGGCGATCTTCCCCAACTTCCTTTCCGGTGGACCATGTCTTCCCTTGTGAGTATTTTCAAACTATTTCTTCTACTAACGTGGCTGAATAACTTGAATATACCTACTCTTAATATACCTGGGTCAAATACTAAATCTATCAAGTGTTGGTGGATAACTTAATAGCAGATCCGCTGAAGTCCCGACGACTTTTGTAATAGTTAATGCAAGATGTACAATAAGTCAATAATTGGCTGCAGAATGACCGGTGAAGAAGAAGAAAAAATGGCTTAAAAGGACGCCCACGAAGATAGAGATCCCTAAACATAATCATATCATCATAATACTCAAAATTGAAAAAAATAAAAGACTATAATTCTTACATGCCACAGGTGAAAATTAGCTTTAGCTATGGTTAGTCAATTACTTCTGTTTAGAATTCCTATAACACAGAAAACTTACCTTCGGGATCCAACAATCTTGTTACTCCATATTCTCTTTCGGCAATGAAGAATGCAGTCTCCATCCTTTCTCTTGGCCTTTGCTGTCTAGCCTTTCCGAAATCGATCAAATCCGGTCTGTTCCTGTGTATGATCGACGAGAAGGCTAAACCGTCTCGCCATGACTTTGTGAAATCGGTCACGCTGACACCTGGGTAGCGGTGGGTGGTTCGCTTCGCCCATCTGAGGAGGTAGTCCTTGGCTGAAACGTTGGGTTCCTGACCAACGACTATATCCGAAATCTGCAAAGAAAATAAAAAGTTAATAAAATGTAATTTGGTGGTTTGGTAAACCACCATTTGGTAAAAAATGGTGGTTCATAAGGTTGTTGACGTTTATGAGAAAGTAATTAAGGAAAATGGTATTACTGCAGATCGTGTCTTTAATTTCGATGAGACATCAGTAGCGCACCTAGAATTTTCCTGTGGGGGGTTTTGATTGGGCACCGTAATTTTTTGAGGCCTTAAAATGTGTGAATAACAATGTCGGAATAGTGCCCTGGGGCCCGGGAGCGCCACTGTGAGACATCTTATACTATTGGCCCGAAGCCACGGAAAATAATCGCTCACGGAGGAAAACACCAAATAGGTACCATAAAGTCGGTCGAAAGAAGCCAAAATGTTACTGGAAAGTACGCAATAAAAGTCACTAACATCTACAGTCGACCTATGCTTATTTGTGCCAGAAAACGCATGAAAAAGAGTTTAACATATGAAATATTATCAACACAAGGAGTGGATTGATATCGATGGATTTTAACATTGGTTAGGACCTTTAGTCAAATAATCTAAAACGAGCAAGGTATTAATTGTAATAGATGAGCACAGTAGTCATACTCAAAGCATGAAAGCTTTAGGATTAGTTTGTGAGCATGATGTTATTATGATTCCATTTCCTTCACACTGCACGCATAAGATGCAACCTTTGGATGTCAGATTCTTCAAATGACTAAATATCTACTTCTCTTTAGCAATTACAAAAAATTAAATGCCAGGAAAAAGTTTAACTGTCGATAACATTAGGGAACTGATTGGCAAATGCTTTCCCAGAGCAGCTACTATTGAAATAGTACTTAATAGTTTTGTGTTTAGTGACGCAGATTTCTGTAACAGAGTTTAATACACTCTTACCATCAGAAACCATTCCTATAATTACCTGCGAAACAAAGCAATCCACATCTTAATCAGTCCTGCAAGACAATGGGTCCTTAGAAACAACAATAGATGTCCTAGTAGAATGCAACCAGTTTTCTAAAATGTTTTCTTAACTATGTCGTTGTCCGTCCCATCCTAATAATTTTGAATCCTAATCTTTTTTGAAAACTACTCCCTTTAAAAAGTCTGAATAGTCTGGCACTTCAATAGCTAATAATACAAACCTAGCAAACAAACAAATAATTCACCTTTTACCATTAAGCAATATAGCCATGGAAACTCGAAAGAAAAAGAGAATTACTTCATCAGGTATAGTTCTAACTACGAAAAAAACAGTTAGAAATTCAACAAACTCCAAAAACAAAAACGAAAACTAGCAGCGAAAAAGAAGAACGGCAACAAGGAAATCAACAAGAAAAGGGGAAACGAAAACAAGAAGAAAAGCAACAGAGAAAAAAACAAAATACAAACCACAAATGTGACACTATCGAGAGGTAGTAATGGGCAACGTACAAACACCAAAACATGGCGATCACATCGACACTGGCTTCACTTTGTGAAGGTTTATTAAATGAGTGTTTATCTGTATTCTCTCTTTCATTGTCTAAGAATTTAGCTGTCCAAAAATTTATGTGCGTCGGTATCCCGAAAGACGAACTCCTAATGCTCGAACTTGTGAATGTTTCTCAAAGATTATTAGAAACGAGTTATGTTACCAAAACAAAATACCAGAAAAACCACGAGTATCTGTGGACTAAATGTAGAAGACGATATTTTAGATGTTGTAAAGAATAATCCAAATGTATTACATTTTATTTATTAATTTTCTGAAAATAAAAATTCACGTACATATGAAAAACAATGTAAGTTTTTTTTAATAGATACGGTAAATTTTAGAAAAAAATGTTACAAGACTTTTTTGTTTTAAATTGTGTATTATTTCCATACCTTAAAGTTTAAAGGAACGTACTATTTTCGGGGACACCCTGTATATTATGAGAAACCAAAGAGTTGAAAGCTGATGAGTACATATATTTTTATTATCGTATAAATGTATGTGTTTTGTATCCACCCATGTATATTTAAAATGTTTGATATATTTTCCATATTATTCAAAGTTGCGTGTCCAAGCGATATCTTGTCCTTAAGTGACAGTTTTCTCGGTGACCACAATCGATAAAATGTATGTAGGACAGAAATGCGTCTCTACTTGTTTATACACAATTTACATTGTCTCCACGCATTGACATTGGCACACTTCGTAGCTCATTCATTTCATTTCAGGGTTAAAGGTAGAGTAGACCCTCCTTAATAGGTAACTTGACTCTCGATTTTTTTGTATATTTACAACTTTTTTATGGCAGGTATGTTTGGAACATCTGGTAGCTGGATTCCAAGAATAAATCTGGTTATTGTAACGTAATTAATAAATGTACAATTTTTTCAAGCTGTGTGGAGATTCCAAATAAGAATGTTTTTAATTGGGTATTGTCTTTTAAGTGACAAATGTATGTGTTTGATGTTAGCGCGTTTAATTTGCTGTGATTGCAAACACAAACACCTGTATACTAAATAACAATTAATTGTGCAACGTTCTATTGTATACGTCAAAATATATGGGCATAGAACTTATACACAACTCAAATACGTATTAAACATGATATAGAATGAAAGGTGGTGTTCAATGAACAGTAATCAAACTCCGTTTTCAAAAACAAAATGAAGCGTTGGTGTCATGCGAATTATATCTATCCCTGCCATAAATATCGATACAAGCGATATCACTAAAAAAATTAAACTACTGGTTTGATTTGAAAAATGTATAAACTATCCAAAAATATTTCAAAATGGCCGCCATTTGGCTCAATACAGTACGGAAGTCTGTTAGGCCATTTATCGATCGCTGTACGCACGCCAGCCATCTACACCTTCTACCAGCGCCCGAAACTAACGACAATTTTAGTCGAGAGGAATAAGGTCTGGACTGGCTGACGGCCAATGGTTACAACTACTGAGTAGTGTTGGCTTTGTACGCAAGTGCAGAGTCCTGTTGGAATAGCCATTGTCTATTTTGGAACGAACATAACGTAGTTTACGGGCTCCACTACATTTGTTAAACTTTCCAGCTGATAATTTCTCGCCTCTGTTTAAACGTCCGTTTCACAAAAATGTCAAGAAATGACGCTGTCATAGGACACTCCTCTTCAAATCATCATCAGGCAGGATAATGCCTCGTTCTATCCTTGACACTAGTTAGCGGGTCGTTACACATATTGGAATAGAACAAAGTTTTCATCTCTACAAGAGAATTTCTTTGTAACGCTCTTGCCTCAACAACAGGCGTCTTGTTTTTTTTCTATTTTGTTTCAATGCAAAGGTGAAGGCATTGTCCTGATGGTTTTTCGGCGCCATATTCATTTCCGAGGCATAATTTTTTGTTTTCGAACAGGATTTCGGTTATTTGACCCAAGAGTTTGACCAACCTTAATCCTTCCGTATCCAAAAACAACTTAAAGTAAAATACACAAAAACACGCGTAATATTTAATGGTTTTACTAATTCAAAAATACCAGCTCTTTATTCCGCCCTTATGGCGAATAATTACAAAAATACGGTTCTCTTTGTATGTCCATTCCATCGTAACGGTCCAAACTAGACTGGAATGTTTTAACGTGAACGTGCTTATAGTGTACATGTCAACAGTCAGTAATGTCAACATAGCTTTTAACTACATTCTGTTTGTCAACCGTATAAGCCACGTTTACACTTACATCAATAATTATGGTTGGACAGGTTATAGATTATAAAATGGAAAATAAAAAACGCCTCTTAAATGCTTTATGATTTTGAAATAGATTTGACTGTGGACGGAATAGATTGGTCATAGTAAATGTCAGCGAATTCATGTCATATTCTTAACCAAAAATGATTCCATCACGATAAACATAGGATCCAGTTAATAAATTGTAGCAAGTCCACGAAACTCTTGAGATCACTAACAAACTTGGCTCTTCGCAAAGGTTAGCGATCGAATTGGCTATAGTTATACGTGAAATAGCGGCTCTGAAGATTCTTGAGACAGGTATGATGTCTTCTCCCTATTGACGTTTTCCTTCGATGATCAACCGAAATAATTTATATTTATCCTATATCATTAGATGTTCGATATATAGTAGGTTGCGTTCTTAGATCGTTAGCATTAGCGAAATGTATATCATTCTCCTGTAGTTACATTGTAACATCGCATCTGGGCCACATACTTTGGAACGATAAGATACTCTGCTACACATCATCGTGCAAGGAAGAGTAGAGGAAAGAAAAGGCTTGAAAAAAAAGAAGAAATCTTGGCTAAGGAATATCAGAGATTGGTAACCTCAGTGTTGAACAGGAAGCGTTTAAAGAAGTGGATCGGCAAACTTCGTTAAAAGACAGCAAATAAGAAGAAGAAAGGTAGATTTCGAAAGCGCTTTTCTAGCGAGTAGTTAAGAGTTTAGCTCTCACATCTGTAATGGAGGATTGGAAACAACACGTAGCAGCGTAGCACTCAGATTTAAGTCTTAGGTCATATTCCGCAGGATAAAGAAGTTCTTCATGCCGATATACGCTAGCCTGCTCTATTCTGATTCGGTGGACAGTGCAGACTGCTGTTCTGTATTCGGTGGACAGTGTCTGAACTTTCGAGAAAAACACAAGTTTTATCTTGGCGATGCTCTTATATCAGTATGAATGATAGATTGTTTAGCAGCGTTTTATAATGCCATCAATAAATTGCTGGAGCTCAGGCAGACTGTTGGTAATAAAGGGCTTCTGAGAAGATGTGTTAGATGAGAATACAAATTAAAAAAGTCGGGATCATATGCATCACGGTCGCACCTCTTTTCTATTGTATATCCACTGTGATATGCATACTTACTCGTGCTATCTGATGGCAGTAGAGTTCTGTAATGATTCTTAAGTCACTCTCGTCTACAAAAATATTCCCAGAACTTTTAAAAAATCCCGAAACACGAGAAAATCTATCGACGCAAATAAACAATAAAACTTTTTATGGAAATATTTTATGGAAATAAAATACCTTGGAATTATAT